CAAAGAAAAATGACTTGAAAGTGAGGTTGAGGCCAGATTTTAATGCGTCTTGCATGCCAAGCTAAAGGTTGGACTTAGTCATTGCATCATAATAGTTGACGTATTTTACAAGTTTAGAGTGTTTTAGTATACTTTACATCTCTCTTCATAATGAAGTGATATTTACCCCATATACAGTTGTCAAAACTGAAGTTGGGGAAAGTAAATGACACTCCAAGGTCACAGAGAAAGTTTCTTCTCCTTCTGCCCCTATTGTTCTTCCGAGTTGTTTATTCACACCAAGAGTAGTATAGCATTTGCTATAATGCATCACAATTTTTCACTTTTTCCTCCAGTACATCCTATTTACATATGGACAAAGCAGCCACCAGGAAATTCTATGTGACTTCAAATGACTGGTTTAAGAAATTTCTTTGTAAGCAGGTGAGTATGGTGGTTAGAGAATGGCCTTAGATGAAAGCCTTGGTACAAATCCTAGCTCTGCTGTCTATCAGCTGTTTAAACTTATCAAATAGTTTTACCCTTTCTGAGCATAAGTGACTTTACCTTCAATGTATGGATAATACTTACCTCACAGAGTTGCTCAGAGGACTACATGAGAAAACTTGCACAAAAAAAAAAAAAAAAAAAAAAAAAATTACCCGGCACAGGGCCTGACTCATAATAAGCATTAAGTTAATGGGCATTTAATGTCGTTATTGAAGATAATATTATGGATATAATAACTTTGAGTTAACTACGAAATCCTTTTCCTTTTATTCCTTTTTACCAATTTAGTTCAGTCAGTTCCCAATATCCCAGATTTGAGCAATGTGATTGGAAGCAAGGAGCCTGCCATTTCCGTAAATGCAGTATGACTTCATCCTGCGGCTAAATGTTCACCTTCCCCTCTGCCTACCTCCCTCCAACTACATCATTTTTGTTGTACATAAGGGATTTAGAAGGTCACAGAGTAAGGGTCAGATTAATAAGTAAAAAGGGAAGGAGAAGTTGCAATCAAGGATCACTTTACCTGAAGTGATGCAACTTTTCTGCACTTGGGGAGTGGAGAGTCCTACATATTAACTTACTTCAGCTATCTTGTTTTTAGCATCATTAGTGAATTAAAAAAACAGTAAGATAATACTTGCTAACATTAAGGATTAATATTTACTGAGTCCTTAATATATGCTAGGCAATAGTCCAGAATAGAATAAACCACTCAAACTTCAATTTAGAGATTTCTTATTTCTACACCATTGTGTTGCAATCTTAAAACATTTTTAGTATGCATATCTAGAACTGAACCTTTCGTTATTGTACCAAGCCTGTAGAGTCAACAAATGTAGAATATCTCCTCTGTGGTTTGAATTATTTGTCCCTCCAAAACTTATGTTGAAATTTAATTGCCATCGTAATAGTATTAAAAGGTGGGATCTTTAAGAGGTGATTAGACCGTGAGGGCTCCATCCTCAGTGGTTTTGTTATAAAAGGGCAAGTTTGGCCCTGTTTTATCTCTCTGAAATTTAATTGCCATCGTAATAGTATTAAAAGGTGGGATCTTTAAGAGGTGATTAGACCATGAGGGCTCCATCCTCAGTGGTTTTGTTATAAAAGGGCAAGTTTGGCCCTGTTTTATCTCTCACTCTCTTGCCTTCTACCATGGGATGATGCAACAAGATGGACCTTGCCAGATGTCTTGATATTGGACTTCCCAGCCTCCAGACTGTGAGCCAATAAATTCTGTTCATTATAAATTACCCAGTCTCAGGTATTTTGTTATAGCAGCAAAAAACAGACTAAAATAACCTCCATTAAGGAACCCCACCCAATACTTGGTGTATGTTTATTGTGCTATCCAGAGCAGCGCTATATACAGTTACAGCTACACAAAGTGAACATTCTGTGTATTTGGATACTTCCTTCTTACATTGACCTTTCTGCTGCTTCTCATTGCCTTTTTATTTTCCACCAGTTTCAATATCCTCTAGGTCAGGTGCTTTCAGGAAGTCAGGCTTGATCAGTTATGATCAGTCCCTTGTATTGGAACTCAGTTTACCTAGATATTCATTAATGAGTATTAGTTGGCTTTGGTGTGCTTTATCAATCCTATTTTAGCTTTTTTGTGTGTTCAGTTTTAAACTATTTTGACCTAAGAACTAAGTTTAAACAGAAGTTTGACATTTATAATGATGCCTTTTGAGATAAATACTTGGTACTTACCATGTTGATAATGATGACAATTTGCTAAGTGATGTTAAGTGTCAAACAGCTGGGAAAATATAAATTCAGCCAAATAGAGGAGAACAAATGCAGACACAAATTTTAAGCCCACAGACACAACTTAATTTATTCAAAACTCTGCTCCCTATGCCCATTTCCCCAGTTTTAGCCAGTTTAAAGGCCTATTCTTAGAATATATTTTTTTCCTCCTCAGTATATTTCCACTTCCTACCTCAAATTCTTTCAAGTCTTAACTAACTAAATATAAAATATGAAATATACAATCTAGTTATGAACTTAAAGTAGGTGATTTGTTGAGATTAGGAAAAAGACAAGCATATTTTCTTAAGTACTTATAAAATCTGATCAGCACTAGAGCTTTTGAGGATGTCACGGTATTTGAAAGAAGCTCTGCAGCAACCAGCTGATAGCAATGGCTATTGGCTCAGGACAAGATGGCAATGGAGGCTACCTTCCAGAGGAGTCTCTTTCTGGTGTGTTACACTAGCATGGAGAGAAGATCCAGTGGAAGAAGAAAGAAACTCCATTACTCTCGGTTTTGTAGAATACTAGGGAGGATCAAAAGAATTGTAAGTGTAATCATCGATAATGATAGAGTTGGCTGGGAAGCATGAAAGTAAATTCTTCCTAGCTTGCAGGCTTCAGCAACTAGCTCCTGATCCTGAATAGCTCTTCGCCTGAAGGGCTGCCTGACTGCTACTGTCAGCTACTGCCTCAGTTTCCCCTGTCTCCCATCGTCCCTCTAATTGGTCTGCATAATTTCTTTGTCAGATTTTTAAACAGAGAATAAAATTAAATACTATGTATTTAGATAATTGATTTAATTAAGTGTGTTTAATTAATTCACTTATTCTTTAGAAAGTATGCACATATTTTTAATACATATAGTTCTAAAAATGTCTATAAACATTTAGTTTTTAGATCATGGGTAAGTTATAACTTACTGTATGTGGAAAAATTACTTACTCTTGTAGTGGAAAAATCAGGTTCAACTCAGATGATTTTCAACTAACAACATATTTCCAGAAACATTCCATAATTTTTAGCCTTGTCCATACTGTATATTACATATTGTGAGGAAGCTAAATGAGCTTGTAAAGCTTATCTGCAGAATAAAAATATTTAGGCTGTACATATTACAAACCTTCAAACAACTCAATGTAGAGATTTATACATATGCTTTATAAGTAGGATATGAGAGACAGTTGAATTAGTACATAAAGTTTTTATTTAAAGTTTTCCCTTTCCAAGCAAGCTTCATTTACACATTCTAATATTGTACAAAATTTACATTCTCTGTGACTTATTTACTCACTTTCTGCTTTCTAGTAGTTTGTGTCTTTCTGAAATACAAGAAGCTTTACTTATAGTTCTCATAAATGCTTTTATTTATTTTGGCTAGAAATAAAAAATAAAATGAAGAACAAGTCTAAGGAAAGCAAATCTTCTGGTATAAACTGTGAGTTTTGGAAGCAATGGTGACAGTTGACAAAAGTTTCTGAAGCAGACCTCCTCTTCATGACGTCATCTGGAATCTTCCCACAAAGTACTGTGACTTTTCTTTCTTTCTGTATATTCATATGTTTCCAAGGAAAAAGAAATGAAAGTTGATTGCACTGGTTATATATATTTATATATATATTTTTACAATAGGTCCTTTGGATCTGAACATACAAATAAATACAAAAACAATGAAGATTGCACTTTACCGTAGAAACGGCATTGGATTTCAGTGTATACCCATCCATCTTGACGTGCTCTGCACTGAAAGCTGATCACCAAGCATTTTTAATCTGGGGCTTCCTCTTGTTTTGAAGGAAACATCTGTTGGGGGATTTAACAGCATCTCCGGGTGACTAAAAATATTTCAAGCTTTTGTTTACTCCTAACAGTTGCTGTTCAAACTCTGAAGAGCTTGAAAATCAAATTCATGTTCCTGCCGGTTTTGCTCTTTTGATTGGCCACACTGAGGCCATCTCGTGCTTTCCTGACCTTCTGCTCCTAAATTCCTCATGCTCCTAAGAACAACCAGCAGTTGCTTGCTTGAGTGAGTTCAGGCATCTCTGGTGATAGCAAACAAAATATGGTGAGTTGGGGGAATAATGAAGGAGAGTCAGGTGTCCAGAGTGAGCCACTGGTGAGGAAATGCAGAAGTACCTTGTCAGGTGCTGTGATTGGCTCTTGGATGGTGTGTGTTTTAGGAACAGATAGACAACTGGGATTGTACTTGAAATTATTTTTTCTTTTCATCCCTGAATTCCTGAAAGCAATCTCCCAGTTTTCATTATGGGTTAAGTTTGGGTCAGATGTGTTATCCAACAGAATCTCTAAAATATCATATGACTGAATTTGTTAGTCCTATCTTTTGAAGCCAATAACACACATGTTCACTATTTATATATTGCAAAAAATGAGAAAGCACAAGCCTTTGTGAACTCAATAGTGACAAGGTGTATTTTGTCTTCATCTTTTAGATAAAGTTGAGGAAACAGAAGTTATGACTTTGGCTAGTCTAGAACCTATAGGGCAGAAAGCAATTGCTACAAGAGCTAATATCTTACTCTTTCCTAATCCCATGAGGTGCTATGAGGGTAGAAGGTTTGTATAGAAGTGAAAATGCCCCTCTTTAATTTTATGTGATTTTCAATGACTGTGTTGCCTATGGAGTCTGTGAAGTAGCCAAAAAGGTTAGGAATACAGAATCAAGTGACAATTTCTATAATGCAGTGTATTTTGGTGGGCCAAATTTTGAATCATTCATGAGCACAACATCCCCAAAACTTCAACAAAGATCACATGCAGGCAGACTACAATGCACAATACTGATCTTAGGTCTCTCTGGGGCCAGTCTTCTGTATTTTATCTTTCTCCTTTTGAAAGTTAAGATCCACATGAGGAATTTTTGTAAAGCTGGGACAAGTTAAAACCAGTCCAAAATGGAAGAGTCTGTCACCACAAGAAGTTTGGTGTGATCTGAGTTACAGACACAGTGTCTGTTCAAGAACAGGTGTCTTTTCTGGTTACTTGTAAATCATCAGAAACCAAGGGTGGGTTTGGGCAGTTGTACCATTAGAATGCATTGTTCCTATTGTGATAGTGACGACACCTGTCATTGCCTCCTAGAATGTGATGATACTGTCCAGTCCAGGTTTCCTGGTGTTATTTGTTGTACGGTACACAGGCGGGCAGGATAACTGTTGCACAGGCAGGGCCTGCCAGTGGTTCTGCTACATCTCCTTCGAGTTCTGTCCAGGTTCCTTTTTCTGGACAATAGCATATTGTGGACGACTTGTAGGCCCCCTGGAATGGCAGAGCATTTAGAGAAGGAATGTTCAGAGAAAGGCAGTGGCAAAGTTATCACATTTACATTGGAAAAAATGTCTATTCTCTGCTCTTGCTAAAAATGTTCAAATGAAAGCAGTGGATTTTAAACTGTTTTATTCCAAGGAAAAATTTAAGACTGACAAGATTTCAAAATCTTTTCTTGTGTGTGACTAATAATAAAAGTCAAGTGCCTAGAATATCCTAAATACTCAACAAATCCTTTCAAATAATCGACCAAAAGTTAAAGTTATCCAGCTGGTTTATGTTAAAAAAGGACACATTCACCTTAAATATTCAAATAATTGAAGTAAATTGGAGTTTAGATTGTTGTCTGACTTCTCCATTTTTATTTTGCTACTGTGGAGAATCAGAGCTGGGATTGAAAACCAGTTTAAAGTAAACTGGAAATAAAGGCTTGCCAACTTATTCACACATTGATTTATTTATTTTCAAGAGGCCACATGAGAAATAAAAAGTGTCTTTAATCTTGTATCCTTTTTCAACTTTCAGGGCTAGTGCTTGTGTGACATTCCCCTCCCCAAACCGAATCAGCTTTTTTATTTTCAAGAGGCCACATGAGAAATAAAAAGTGTCTTTAATCTTGTACCTTTTTCAACTTTCAGGGCTAGTGCTTGTGTGACATTCCCCTCCCCAAACCGAATCAGCTTTGCTTTTATTATGGCAATGAATAAAAAACCCAACTAACCTAAAAATCATTTTCTGAAAGTGTGCTCCTGGTATGCCTGTTTCCAAACACGTGTACTCTTACAGCTAACAATTTTGTACCAGCAAACAAGCACATGTATGACTATCTAGTTATATATCTCAATACATAGTTGCCTCCACATAACTAATAATTTTTTAAAGCTCCCTAAAACTTGATTTCATAATCTTGTCAGATGTAAAAAAAATACAACTAACTAGTATTATTACATTCCCAAATTAGGGCTGGCTGGTTAGCTCAGTTGGTTAGAGCTCAGTGCTGCTAACACCAAGGTCAGGGGCTCGGATCCCCTTACTGGCCAGCTGCCAAAAAACAGAATAAAACCAAAAAACAAACAAAAAAACCCCACATAAGACCCCAAAATAAACTTATAAAACTAACACAGGAAAATAGGAAAATATAATAAAGACCATCATTTAAAAAGTGAATATTATAGACTACTAGATTTGATGTTTTTCCTGAGGTGATGAAACTTGAATTACACAGCCACCTCCTCAGGTGGTCTTGCCAAAAAAGAAAAAGACACAAACAAGAAAGAAAAAGGCTGATCTTAATTAAGTCCTTATCTCTAACTTCCAGCTTATAGAAAATATGGAGATGGAGGACTATTTTAAATGACACTATAAGGAAGTCATTAGCCAATTCCAGAATGTAGGGTATTCTATGCGATAACCAATTCTGTTTTGTGAACATGTCAATGCCATGGAACAAAAAGTGGGGAGAGTAATGTACATTTCAAAAGATGTATGAGATGAACAAGTTATAACCAAAGACAAGTGAGATTTGTTGGCTCCTGATTTGAACATGTCAATTTGAAAAATACATCTTTTTTTCAAGTCAATAGGGGAAATTTGAATA